GGCCCGCGCAGCCTCGCCGTTGGCGCGGACCGCCGCGCACGAACTGCTACAAACTGGCCCCTCCCCTGCGGAAAAGGGGCGCGGCGGACGGAGCGAGGAGCGAGGAGCGAGGAGGAGGAGGAGGAGGAGCGAGGAGCGAGGCAGAGGAGGAGGAGCGAGGAGCGAAGCAGAGGAGGAGGAGGAGGAGGAGGAGGAGGAGGACCAGGAGGAGGAGAAGGTCGGCCCGCGAAGGGGGCGCGGTCGGGACTGCACGACACGCCGCGGACCCTGTGACCGAGCCCCTCTACCTGTGAGGGCGAGCCCTCTGCCTTGCGACCGAGCCCCTCTGCCTGTGAGGGCTCCATCAGGTCCCGCGAGAGCCGAAGCTTAGCCGAGGCGCTCAGGGGCTGGCAAGTCGAAAGTCTACGCCGCATCTCCCGTGCACAGCGAGGAGAAGATGGAAGCACGGAAGAAGAGGAGGGGGAGGGGGACGGGCACGAAGAAGAATAAGGGGGTTGTTCACAACAACCGCGTTCGACCCTCCCTTCAGGAGGATCCATTGCAAAACCCCGATTTGTTTATCTTCCCTGTGGGGATCAACCAGAGCTCTCTGGATCGGCACACGGGTCGTGAAGCTGAGCATCCCCATGCGTCAAACGAGCGCTGAACTGCTGGAGCTGGGCACCTGGTTCCGCCAGGCCGGGCTCCGCGGGTACATCCTGCCGAGAAGCCCCCCCTCCGTCCGTGTCCGCCGCCCGAACAAGACGCTTGCAAGGCTCCTCGCTACGCAGGCTCGCTCGGATTCTCAAAAGCTGATCCTCAGCCTCCACGGGAAGCTAGGACTCTGGCCACTCTGGTGCGCGGCCAAGGGATGCCGAAAGACTCACGAGTCCAAGACCACTCGTGGGTCAAGGTATCTTCGCGCTCCTGCTTCGGAGGGCGCACGCATTGAACACCAGTTCAACAGAGCCACGCCATCTAGGAAGAAACTTAGTGGCCATAACGACGACTGCACGTGAAATCTTGATCGAGCAATCGATGCTCTCCAAAACTTCGGGCTTGGCAGTGAGGTGCGACTGCGCTCCTAACTTAGCCGCAACGTCGACATAGACATAGACGTACCCTTGCTGACAGGTGAAATATTTCAATGGGGCTGACCCCCTCTTCGTCCAAGTTTTTTGGGTCGCAACTAGTCGGATCTCCTGGATCCACTGGCCAGACCTGGCGATAGCATCAAGCACCGAGCCCGCTGAGGGCCCACATTCCGAGACACGCCCTCGGGGAGCGCGAGACCAAACACGGATAACGCACGCACAATCTGACAAGAAAATGGCCTGCCGGTCGAAATTGACCCCCGCCCCCGGCCGCAACGCTAGAATACTTGCTACACTGAGAGCTCTAGGGCGTGTGGGCCCATACAGGCCCACAACTTCTCGCCAACATGTGACCTTGACACGAGACCATCACGAAGGCCAAACCAGCCCTCGAGTCCTTTCAATCTGGGAATGGTAGCAGCCCGTCCAGAAAAATATTCCCCATCACTTTCGGAGGTCGGGGGTTGGAAATTCCAGAGCGACGAAACGAAACGATTTTGGAACTGGCTCGACGGGGGAAGATCCCCACATGCACATCCCATTGTCTGGCACGTCCTGTTGTGAATGTCTGGCTGTGAATATCTGGCTATGAGCGTGAATCCGAGTGGACGACGGATATGACGACGACGGCGGCTGCGTTAAGGGACAACGACGACGACAACTCACAGACTAACAGGCGGTGAGCAGGCTCCCTCCCATCTCCTTGCTTTTCCTCCTCGTTGCAGCCAGTCCCTTCTCTTTTGCTCCCCTCCCATTTCCCTCATCATGCCACTTCATCCTTCCTCCTACGTCCTCCCTCCTCCTCCTCCTCCTCCTCCAACTCCTCCCTCCTGGCGGCCGCCCTCCTCTACCCTCCTACATGATATTCCTGCCAACTCCTGGTCCTCCGTAGCCCTCCGTCCTCACCCCTCCATTCTCCTCCCTGGCAAGTGCCCTCCTCCCCGGCGGCCTTCTCCCCTGTTCTTCATCTTCCTCCTCGCCTTAGCCCCTCCCTTCTCCTCCTCCTTCCTCCCCATCTCCTTCCTCTCGCGCCCTCCTCCGTCTTCCCCCCAAGAGGGGCTCCGAGGGGGCCCCACGGGCCTGCCGGGTGCCCCAGGAATTGCCCCCAGAGGGCCGTGCGATGGCCCAAAGATGCCCTCGAGAGCGTCCCTGAGCGTGACCGCATGCTGCCACTCATTCCCGATCAGGGCAACTCGCCTGGTGATTGTGTTCTCACCTGATGATGGGCTTCGGTGGGCTGGTTGGGATATGCGAGGCGTCAAGGAATTGCGTCAGATCACGGCAACTTGCAAGAAAGTCTCGAGCGAGACCGCGATTCTTAAGCAGCGATAGCGCTAAACCTGAGTAAACCGTACGGATGTCCAAAGCGAAAGTGCGTTTCTTGAGTTAATTGCAAAGAGGTCTTGCGCAACATGTGCGGACATGTAAGCCGGGAGCCGATATTGTACTAGACGAGATAGTTGTTGTAGTAGCGCGACGGCGCTGTTGTAGTAGCGCGGGGGCAAACGACGCAGCTTGCCCGTCAAGATCTAACAGAAAAGTCGGCCACGAGAGACGATGGGCACCAGCGGGGGGATGAGTGGCAATCATACTTCAGAAGGGGACCTCAACATCATCACCCCCACTCCTGGGAAGGATGGGGAGGGAGGGACAGAGGGAGCGGGGGGGAAGAGGGGAGGGGGTGGAGGACAGGGGCGGGAGGATGGCTGCGAAGCTTGATTACCCTTGTCCACTCAGACGGCAGCTTGTCTGCGAGCACGTCCGACCGGCGCGGCTAGTCTGCGTTTTCCATGAACAAGGGCAGCCAAAACCACAGCAACCGCGAGATTCTCCCTCCTCCCGCCCCGCCCCCCCCCCCCTGGACGGAGAGAATGGCAAGGACTCGGAGAGGAGGGAGAGGGGGAGGTGAGGGCCAAAGGGGGTGAAGCAGGAGGAGGAGGATGATCAGGAGAAGGAGGAGGACGAGGAGGAGGAGGAGGAGGAGGAGGAGGAGGAGTAAGAGGAGGAGAGGGGAGGAGCGAGGAGCGGGAGAACGAGGAGGATGAGGAGGAAGGACGAAGAGGAGGAGAGAGGAGGTGGAGGGAGGAGGGAGGATATGAAGGGGAAGGAAGAGGAGACGAGGAGAAAGCCCAATCTCGCTATCCCTGTGATGTTCGCTGCCCTGGATGAGATTACTGCGATCACCAATCTCCCCCTCCCTCGAAGCAGCATCGCCCCGCCTCCGCCTCCGCCTCTGCCTCCTCCTCCTCAATTATTTCTCCTTGTAAACAGCTTCTCTCTGTCGCACCCCAAGGCAAGTTGGTAGGGCGGACCGGGCATTTCGCCTGAGACTTCCCAACCATTTATAACCCTGAAGCTGAAACAATGACAACACTCTCACAGATGGAGGGCGGGTCGTTTTCAAAATGTGGCTTTCGCCTTAGCGTCGCGCACATTCGTTTCACAAAATGGTTCACGGACAAGGTCCACCCACTTTCAAAATGTGGCTCTCGCATTAGCGCCGCGCACATTCGTTTTGAAAATTTGATGTGGCTTTCGCCATAGCACCGCGCACATTCGTTTTAACGAGTTGCAAGAGTTTCACATGTTGAAGGCGGCTCCTTTTCAAAATGTGGCTCCCGCCTTCGCGCCGCGCACATTCGCTTTAAAATGTTGCAACGAATTTCACGTATTCCCATAATCAACGTATCAGAAGCCGTGTTTTGGAAGGAATCATGATTATGAGGGTGCGACAGTAACATTCACTCGCGGTGTTGAAATCCCAGGAATGGCTTTCTAGCACGATTCCGGATCGTCAAGACGCAATAATCAAATTGATCCGTGGCGTAGGAATCCGGAGAACAATGTTTTGGTATGCCTCTGGATCTTCAAACGGTTGTCTTCCAACGAGGCAGTATCCTCGGTGGAAACGAAGCCTTGCAGGAGCCTATGAAGAGGGAGCTTGGAGGGAGGGTTTATTCCAACATCGCTGATGACTCTTCGGTTTACACTGGTCCTCCTCCTCCTCCTCGTCCTCATCCTGGTCCTCATCCCTCCCTCCCTCTCCCTTTTCTTATTCTCCCCACTCTTCCTTCTTCTCTGCGTCCCTCACATCCCCCTCCCTCCTCGCTCTTATCTCCCTCCTCCTCATCCTCCTCATGCTCCTCACCCTCAACCTTCACATTGCCTCCCTCTCCCGTCTCTGACTCCGTCACTCCTGCTTCCTATGCCCTCCACCTCCTCCTCCTCCTCCTGCTCCTCCGCCTCTTCCTCTTCCTTCTCCTACTCCTCCTCCTCCTCCTCGGATTCGCCCTCCCCGCATCATCCCTTCTTGCTCCTCTTCCTCCTCATGCTCCCTCTGCTCCTCCTCATCATCCTCGTCCCTGCCTTGCAGCCGTTTTGACTGGACCCGTCCCAGCCAATTGCGATTGCCCGGAACTGAACCCTCGCATTCATGCTGTGTGCAGACGCGTTGATCATGGCGGCATTCGTTATGTGCCCGACCCCAGCATGTCCGGTACACGCCTCGCCGAGCGCGGCCAACGTAGGGGGATGCGGCGTTCGGGGCGTCCGAGGGGCGTACATCGCTTGGCCTCAAGTATAATGCCCAGGAACAGCCAGGGGGGGTCACAAACCTCCGCATCCCTGCAGCGATTCTGCGGCACGGGCCGCAGACGAACGCTTCTCGCAGCGCGGCCTATCCGCCGACTCCGTTGTTGCTGGGCGTGGTCCCGTTCTCGCGTGCACTACCCAACCTCCCAACAACTACAAACGCGATGCGCGCGGGCTTCGACGGCAGCCGGCATGCTTATTGGCATGACTTGTTGGCGCCCTTGCAGCAACTATCCATCGCCCTCTCGTGTTATCGGTGGAGTGGGTGGTGGCCCGTCTTGCGCGGGTGGTGGCTGGTTCTCGGTGGAGTGGCGTATTCGTGGTTTCAGCAACTCC